TTTGAAAATTTCTAAGAAATTGCAAGAGACCAGAATAGTCAAAACAATATTGAAAAGGAAGAACAAAGTTGGAGGATCTTATGCGGATTAAGGAGGGGCCATGAACTAAGGGCCTCTGTACCTGAGACCCCCCCCCCCCCCCCCAAAGGAATTTGTTTTTGTGTTTTGTTTTTTATAAAGGGACAGGCAGAGTGCCTGCTACATAGTAAGCTCTTTTTAAAAAGATATATATTTTTAATTGATTTCAGACAGGAAGGGAGAGGGAGAGAGAAATATTAATGACGAGAGGCTCATTGATCGGCTGCCTGCTGCATGACCCCTACTGGGGCCGGCTAGGGCAAGGAATTTGTTTTTAATTACACGGTAAAGTGTCTGAGAGTACAAGGCCTAAGTTTTTTTTCAAGGTTCTCCCATAACTGAATTTTCTTCTTTCCACAGATTTGATAGTGGAGATGGAAGGGAAGAATCAGACTGTGTTGCTGAATGACAATGTCACCATCTCCTGCAAGGTCCCTGGTTCCACACCCCTGAACATCAAGGGTATGGGTGTTATCTGGTATCAGAAGCATGAGGTGCATGAAACAGAGCACAAGGTGTTTGAAATGTATGGAAATCATCAAAAGGCATTCAGACCCAGAGCCAGCGTGTCTCCAGCGGGGCTAGAGAAGGGGGATGCTTCACTGCACCTTCCTGGAGTCCAGCTGAAGGACGCAGGAGAGTACCGATGTAAGGTGGTGGTCACTCCCTATGAAGCCCAGGAAACAGTCATTCTAAAGGTTTTGGGTGAGTGCCTGAAGCAGTGTCCTGTAGTTCCCATGGTTATGGGACTTGGGGTAGAGATGTGGTCAGGCCAAGTAGAGCATAAGTTTGGGAATGGGCCTTAGAGTGGGATAGACACGGGTTTACATCTGGACAACTTAGAGCAAGTTATTAACCACGCTGAACTTCAGTGTCATTTTCTCTAAATAGTTGTAATAGTACCTCTATAAAAACCCTGTCTCCAGCCCTAGCCAGTTTTGCTCAGTGGATAGAGCATGGGCCTGGGGACCAACGGGTCCTGAATTTAAAAAAAGACCTATCTCCAAATACAGTCACAGTCTAAGAGAATGGGCTTAGGGCTTCAACATATGAATTTGGGAGTGGGGCCACAATGCAGCCTATAACGGGGGCAATGTCTATGAACCCTTTAAAATTGTACTTAAGACTTTGAATGTTTTGTACATATTAATTAGGGGGATGGGAAAGCGTATTAGGAATAATTTCCTCCGCAACTGACAGAAAGCCTAAAAAGATTTTTAAAAAGTAATAGACTTTATATTTTATTTTATTTTTTGTTTTTTTTAAATTAAATCTTTATTGTTCAGATTATTACAGTTGTTCCTCTTTTCCCCCTAATAGCTCCCCTCCATCCATTTCCCACCCCACCCTCCGCCCTCACCACCCCCCACCACTGTCCTCATCCATAGGTGCACTATTTTTGTTCAGTCTCTTCCCGCATCCCCCTCACCCCCTTCCCCCCC